GCCGGGAGGGTGAGTTGCGCGCTGGCGGGGCCCGGGCTGAGGACGGCGCGCGTTGTGACACCGCTGCGGGAAGCGGCTGCGGTGCCTTCTCGGTGCGGAAAGGGCCGCGGCGGCGCTGGGGAGCGGGCGCTGCCGCCGGCGCTGTGCGGGGGCGGSCGGAGGGGGCTCTGACCCCGCTCCAAGCCCCTCAGCGGGTGCCCGCTCCCGTTTTCCCCGCGCGGGTCGGGAGCGGGGCGGCTGGTGCGGGGCGGTTTGATCGGCTCGGACAACAAGCCGGGCGAGGGCTGGGCTTGGCGCAGCTTCCTGCGGGCTCCCTCCGCGTGGAAAGAGAAGGAAGACCGAGCTTCCCGGGCGGGGGCAGAGCCGGGAACGGGCCGGGCTCGGGGCAGGCGGGGGGACGCGCAGGGGGACGCGTTCAGCGCCCCGTCGAGCCCGGAGCCAGCCCCGGGCTACGGCTTTGCAGCCCGCACGGTGCGAGGCCAGCGGCCCGGCCGGGGTCCTGCCCCGGCTCCCCCGGCCCGGCCGGGATCCTGCCCCGGCTCCCCCGGCTCTGCCTGGACCCCTGCCCCGGGAGGGCGCATGGCCGGCCCGGGCCGTGGCCCCCTCAAGCCGCTGGTCCTGCTGGCCTGGCGGGTCCCAGTGCTTCCCAGTGCGGGGCTGGTGGCCTCGCGGGCTCCCTGAACCAGCAGTCCTGTGCCATGGGCCAATCTCCGAAATGCCGGAGCCGTTTCTCCCKGGCGGAGGGGAGAGATTGGGAGTCAGATAGGCTGAGAACTCAGCCTGTTTCTCTGTGTAGACCCAGGGAGTTCTGGCGTTCTGGACTGAGCTGCTGTCCTTTGAAGGAAAATGAATGAAAATCCACTAAGTGTGTGCTAATGTGATTAAATTGTAGGTGACGACGAGGAAGGAGGTGGCAGGTTGTGGTGTGGCAGAGACTGACCAGCAGAAAGTCCCTCCTTCCCTTCAGYAGGGTGCTCCTGACGGGGTGGACAAGGGGGCTGAATATCCTGGCTCCGTAGGCCAAGGCTGAAAGCGTTTGGGCTCAGGAAACTCATCACAAAAATATGGTAAGGATACAAGAGTCTAGAGGAGAGAACCAAAAAAGCAGGTTATCCATCCAGCAGGTCAACGCAGTCTCTTTTTAATGTGCCTTGCGGCTCAGGGGGCCAAATCCTGCTTGAGGCTGGTGCACAAATGGAGCAAGGGGCTGCACTGTGAGCTGCAAGCCAGCCCAGGAGGAGGGAGATGGGTGCGTCCCCCCGCAGCRTGCCTGGGTATGGCTGGTGTGGACCCTGCCGGGCCGCCTGGTACCTGTTCCAGTGCATCTGTGCCCCSAAAGCCTGTGCCCAGCGCCTCAGCAAGTCCCTCCGTGCAGTGGGAATCAGCCAGGTTTCGCTTTTGGAGAGCGTTTTCCAGGCTGCGCCTGTTGAGTTAGGCAGCGCGAGCACTGGCTGGCGTCAGCGCCGCACGCAGGGATACRGTGCCGGGGCGTTCCCGACCTTCGGCATGCACCCACTGCAGTGGTGGCTGCGGGGATGTGTGCTGCTTCCCCAGCTGTTCTTGCCGGGGGGAATGTTTCCCATCCAAAGGAAAACCTCCGGGTTCGTTATGTTGGGGTGCTTTGAATAATCACGTAGCTGGGGGGATGCAGATATTGCCCCCATCCACCAGAAACTGGAGCTGGTGAGAGGGAAGTRGTGCCGTGTGTGCTGGCAAACCGCAACCCCGCTGCTCTCCACGAGCTTGAGCAGTGTTTTGGTGGACCCCTCCGCACGCACTGGAAAGCTGTGAGGGAGGTTGACTCACTGTTGGAGCTGGGCAATGGGATTCTAGTTGGTTTGCTCTCGGTTAGTGTGTCAACAAGTCGTTGGTGATAAAAGGTCATAAAGCTTTGTAATGTCTTCTAGTGATATACACTGTCTCTGAGCTAATGCACCCTTTAAACCTCGTCCAGCCTAACGCAGTGCTCATGTGACTCCATTTATTTTGCTCCAGAAGCGTGAGCTTTTCTCRCTGGATCTGGGTTTGGATTTAATCATTTTTGCCTGGTTTGTATTATGAGGATGCGAGCCAGCTGCTAGTGAAGTTAGGAAAGGGAAACCTCTATCTGCTTTTTCTTCCCCCCGCCCCCGCCTCTCTCCCAATTGTAAATACATTTGTCCAGAATTAACCTGGACTTTGTGTCTTAGCAAATATTATTGAAAGTTTAATTTTGATAGGATTTGCAGACATGAATAGCTAATACAGCAGCTTCAGAAGCAGGAAAAAAAAAGACTCTTATTTTCTGATCCTTTTTAGCTCCTGGGAGGTTTGCTGTCCTGCCTGGATGCTTGATGAAACACACCTTTAAACTGTTATTTAAACACAATTTGCGATTGAATCTGAGCTAGATAGAGTGAGTTCACATTAATTTTMTGTGATCACTTGCATTTAAATTGCATCTGTAGGTATTTGAACAAATAAAACCTGTTCCTAGACTAGTTTTTGGATTTTTTTTTTTAATCTTTTTTATCTCTGCTGCTGGATTTATTTTGCAACCTTCCATATCAGTGTTCAGAACCTGATGGCAAAGTTTTTATTTATCCTGTATCTAAATTTATCAATGGGAATATTTGCCATTTTTCACTTAYATTTTAAGATTTATAAACTACTCTGTGAATGTGCTTTCCAAGTATTTGTGCAGCATAAATAAAAATACCAAATACTGCTTCTTCTTGCATGGAAGCAGCCATTTATTTTTCTTTAGCTTTGTTTATATCATGAACCAGGAAAATATTTTTAGTTGCCAATATAGTAGCAATACAGGAGTGCTTAAACAGCAGCAGCTTTGATCAGTTAACTGACGCATTAAAAAATAACACTAAGGCAACGTTACTTGATTTTTAGCTTGAGTTGCAGTTTATGTCATTTTGGACAAGTGTTCTAGTTACGACAGGTCAGCACCATACACTGATGTTTGCAAATGACTATGCCACATTCAAAAAGTTCATGATAAAGTCGTGAAATGACTTTTGGGTGAAACTGCCTCCRTGGGATAAAACACTCCCCTGCAGCCTCAATGTCCTGTCGCTACCTCAGCTGGGGCAGGTGGGCACAACTCTCCCGTTTGGCATGTGTTGGCCTCCTGCTTGTCGTATAACTCTTACGTGACTCGAGAGAAATTAGATCAGATAGTTCAGTTTGCTGAAGTGTACATGGAGGCTTTTGAAATTCTAATGTCTGTTCTTGCCGTGGCTTGTTCATGGCTTTATCTCCTGCACAGCACTTACAGCGCTGTTTTGATTGGGGCTAATCCTTCCATGTGCTCGGGTAACACAAATAATGCACCAGCTCAGATTGCTGTGATATTTGAGTTCTTCCAACAATTATGTTCCTTACTTAGCGGTGCATTTGGAGCTGCATCTGGTGGAGCAGTGATCTAGTGAAATCTGAATGCATATTCTAGACGTGCAGTGAAATAACAGTAACATTGCTGATAATCCTTTTTCATTTAATACCTTCCTGAAGGGTTGGGGTGGGATGAGGGTGCAATCAGCCTCTAACATGTAGCAGTCATCTTTTGCAGACAATGGCACTGCACCCGCGGAGAGTTCGCTTGAAGCCCTGGCTGGTGGCCCAGGTGGATAGTGGTTTGTATCCCGGCCTCGTCTGGCTGAACCGCGAGGCCAAGCGATTTCAGATCCCCTGGAAGCACGCGACTCGGCACAGCCCGCAGCACGAGGAGGAAAACACTATCTTTAAGGTAAGGGAAGAGAGCTGCRGTTGTACCACGGCCATTACACAGGGACAAAGGCTTGAATTGTTGGCCTAAAAGCTGGATAGTCATTTCAGAAACTGTTTCCAGGTACATTTTGTCCTGTTTCCTTTGACCTCAGAAAATCTCACTGCCAAGCTTGGCACTGCTTTGAAAAGGTATTTATTTCTTTAACCCGTTCTAGACACTAGAGCCCAGACTTGATGTCTCACTTCATGGATTGTGGCCGATGAAGTTTGCACCGTTGTTCATCTAGTGGGTTTAGCATGCGGTAGCTAGCTTGTTTGTAACGTCAAACCACTAATTAATGTTATCTATATCTTAGCTAGGGAACAAAAATCACCTACTGCTAGTTTTGTCATTACAAACTGTCCAAAGGGACTTTTGGTATCCAACCTGAGGCACATGGAAAAGTGCAATGTATAATCCTGTGTAAATTACACTCAAATAAAGAAGCATGCTCAAGATTGCTCAGAGTTCTTGGGGTTTAGGATTTTCATTTTTTTCCTTGCGTGAATGCAAAAAAAAACTGTAGAGGGAACGGTAAGAGAAAAATAATACAGTGAGTTTGTTTGGAAGTGTGGTTTCTGATACAAGCTGTCACTGTGAGAGAGCTGGACTAAGCTCGGTGCACTTTGTCCCCAGGCATGGGCGGTGGAAACGGGAAAGTACCAGGAGGGAGTCGATGAGCCAGACCCTGCCAAGTGGAAAGCCCAGCTCCGGTGCGCTCTTAACAAAAGCCGGGAGTTTAATTTGATGTACGATGGCACCAAGGAGGTGCCCATGAATCCTGTTAAAATTTATGAAGTTTGCGATATCCCACAGTCCCAGGGATCAATCATTAATCCAGGTGAGGGCCTTGCTGACACAATACGGGTAACTGAGCAGGCATCTGTCCAATGCCATGCACCTTTCTCGAGGAGGATTTAACTCTTAATCTACCTTTGTGTGCAGTGGAACATGGATGCCATATGTTAATGCAGCTCTAATCAAGCTCAAGGGACTTTGAGCCATAGCAAAGCTGCACTGAAATTAAAGGGTGCTTGCTTTCTGTTAAATCATCCAGCATTGGTGGTAGTTTGTTGGGATCCTTAGCTCTCTAAAGTCATGCATTAGAAAGAAAATGACAAAATGACAATGGTATATTGTAAAGATTATTTTCCTTTTTAAAAAAAAAATTATATAAATCAACCTCTGATAGTGTGCAAAGTACACGAAAACTACAGTATTATTTTTCAGGAAATGCAGAGTGACTGCCTCTAATGTGTTGTTTGTAGGTTCCACTGGCTCAGCTCCGTGGGATGAAAAGGATAACGATCTTGATGATGAAGAGGAGGAAGAATTGAATCCATCTCAGCATGTCCCTATTCAGGAGACCTTTCCATTTCTTAATATCAAYGGTTGGTAGCATAGGCTGTTAGTTATTCCCTTGTAAATGGGTACACCCTTGAAATCAAATCTTGTTTTATCAGAGAATTGATTCTTTTGTGTAGATTCTCCGATGGCTCCAGCCAATGCAGAAAACTGTAGTCCTGAAGCTGTGTGGCCGAAAAATGAACCTCTAGATATGGAAATGCCTCCAACTGCCCTGCAGCATGACTTTTTCAGCAGCCCCGAGCTCTGGATCAGCTCTCTTCCAAGTATGTGTATTGGGATAGTGCCTTGCTGTGCTTTTAAACCAAGTTTTTTTTTTAACCTTGCATTTCCCTTTGGTTGTTTGCTTGTTAGTGTGCATAGTTAAACTATCCTTTCAGAGTCCAGCTTACATTGCATAACTGRTTTATGCAGTATATGTCCTGAGGTGCAGAGAGTATCACACTAACACCTCCTCTCTCAGTGACAGACCTAGAAATCAAGTTTGAATATCGAGGAAAGGAGACTGGACCCACAACGACTGTAAGCAACCCCCAGGGATGCCGACTTTTCTACGGAGAGCTGGGTCCAATGCCAGATCAGGAAGAGCTGTTTGGGCCCATTAGTTTGGAGCAAGTAAAGTTTCCAGGAACAGAGCAGATCACCAATGAAAGGCAGAAGATCTTCACGAGTCGCCTACTAGATGTTATGGACAGGGGACTGATCCTGGAGGTCAGTGGCCATGCCATCTATGCCGTCCGACTCTGCCAGTGCAAGGTCTACTGGTCTGGTCCGTGTGCACCTTCCTCCACTACGCCAAATTTAATTGAGAGGCAAAAGAAAGTCAAGCTCTTCTGTCTGGAAACATTCTTAAGTGGTAGGTAAATTAATAAAAAATATTAGTGGGTTTTGTAGTTAGAGAAAGCTCTTTCTGGATTTAGGAAATAAGCTATRATTGCTTTCATGTGTAAGAGGTGGCTCAGGAAAGGATTGCATGATCCTTTTGGACCTGGGGCAAGTATAACGAGGTGGGATGTGGTAAGTGATCCTGACRGAAAGATGCATAACCATGCAGTGTTCTACATGTCTTCCTAGAGCTGATTTCCCATCAGAAGGGACAAATCGAGAAACAGCCACCTTATGAAATCTACTTCTGTTTTGGGGAAGAATGGCCTGATGGAAAGCCCAGAGAGAGAAAGCTGATTGTGGTTCAGGTACGAGCCAAGGCTCTGAAATCGGCTTTGTGGGTCCCCGTGCATTGACACCCACAGACCTCCAAGTAGAGAACTATTTTTCTCCATCTCGGTTAATGAGATCCAGGAACCCAAGTAGGAAGCTGGTGGGTTTTTGCCACATGAAGTGCAAATGATAGGTATTCCTTGTATGCTGAGTCTGCCRTATTTATTTTTAACCAGGTCATTCCCGTGGTGGCTCGGATGATCTACGAAATGTTTTCTGGCGACTTCACGCGCTCCTTCGACAGCGGCAGCGTGCGGCTGCAGATCTCCACACCGGACATCAAGGACAACATCGTGGCTCACCTGAAGCAGCTGTACCGGCTGCTCCAGAGCCACCAGGAGGGCTGGCCCATGCAGGGCCCGGCGCTGCACATGGCCACGCCGCTGCCCGCCCAGTGAGCACCGGGGCCCTGCTCCCCTCCCGTGCCTTGTACATAAACATTTCTTAATTGGTGCCTTGCCCAAACCCAAATCAAGTCTGTAAATCTGGTTGTCTTGATTGAACTTTCAACAGTCAGGGGTCTTTTTTTTAGCTCACTTTTTTAGCTGCTTGCTACCATGCTATACTATGTATAAATCAAATTTCTAAGCCTACTGTTTTTATAAAATCCACTACTGACATGTATATACATACTTGATTGTTAGAGGGAAGGGGAAATAAATCTGTGTTCTATTAAAAGTGCCTTGAACCCATTGTTGTGTCTGCTTTTCTCTCTTCCTCCCCGCCCTAGCAGCTACGTTCGACCTGTGAGCTGCAGCCACGGCTGTCCCTGAGGTACCGGGGGGCTATTAGAGCCCTGGGGMCTGCACAAACTGTCCCTGAGGTAACGGGCAGCCGTTCGAGCCCGTTCCTGAGGTAACAGGCGGCCATTTAGAGCCCGCGCGGGCTCTACCAGCCCCTCCCGGACCCTGAGGTGACGGGCGGCCATTAGAGGCCGCCCGGGCTGCACGAGCCCGTCCCGACCCTCAGGTAACGGGCGGCCATGGGGTTCCCGCGCGCATGGGGGCTGCGCAAGTCGGGCCAGTCCCTGTCCCTGAGGTGCCGGGCGGCTGCTAGAGCCTGTGCGGACCACCCGAGCCCGTCCCGACCCTGAGGTAACAGGCGGCCGTTGGAGTCCGCGCGAGCCGGGTGGCCATTTGGTTCCCGCGCGCGGGCTGCGCGAATCGGGCCAGTCCCTGAGGTAACACACTCCCCTTGGAGCAGCCATTAGGGCTGCCCCCGTCCCTCCCGCCGCCGAGATGCAGGGCGCCCTCYGCGGCCCCGCGCTGCCGGCGGCGGGCTGCTCCTCCCCGGAAGAGGTAGGCTCTGTGGTGGCGGCTCCGCTGCGGCGGGAGGCGGCCATGGGCCCGGGGGAGACGGCGAGGCTGGCGGCGCCGCAGCTGGTGCTGGCGGCGCGGCGGGCACTGGGACGGGCGGGCGGGCGGCGGCTGCCGGCGGCCCGTGCCCTGCAGCTGGCTGGCGAGGTGCTGGCGGTGGCAGCGGGGCTGAAGCCGGCCTTGCTCTACGACTGCGGGGCGGCCGGGGCCGAGCAGCTGCGGGACTACCTGGGGCGGCTGCTGGAGGCCGGGCTGGCGCCGGGGCGCCTGCACGTGCTGAGCGTGGCAGGCAGCGTGCTGGTGCTGCACCCGGGCCGCGCAGCCCGCCGCCTCGAGGCCGTGCTGCGGGCCCAGYCCGCGCCCTTGGTGGATGTGGCGGCAGCCCGGGTGCAGCCCGCGCTCTGTGGGACCTCGGTGGCCCATGCTGTCAGGAGACACCTTTCTGCACTCCTAGTGCACCTCAAGGCTGTGGARGCTGCTGCTGCTGGGCCCATATCTTCCAGCGAGATTTACTCCGCTGACTGGAACCTCTGCACTATTTTTGGAGTCATCTTGGGCTACCCACTTGCCTACACCTTTGCAGTGGAGGACAGCTTTGAGAACTGCTTGGCATTGACGCCACTGAGAGTTTTCAGCGTTCAGGCCTCGTGCCATAGGATAAGAGATGATCTCAMGGTCCAAATTTATTCCTTCAGCATCCCGGAAAACCTCTATCCAGAGATGAARGAAGTGGTGGATGCCTGGTGTGACAACTTGAAGAACAGTTTCAGTTCTCAGAATGATTTTGTAAATCTCTGCATTTCAAGTGAGGTGGTTACTCTCTCAGCTGTTGCCTTATAAGACTCAGTTGCTTCATCTGTTTCTTATCTGTAGCGGGGACTGAAGTCCCACCTGAGGGGTGAGCACCTCCTTGAACTTATCTCAGGAAGCTCCTGAAATTGTGTATCGCCACCTCCCTTCAACATAAACCAAAGCAACCATGAATAAATCATAGGTGTCTTGGTCCTCTGACCTCTTAGGTCATTTGCAAATTAAATACGTGYGTTTCCTAGAAAACCAGTATAAGAATCTGAAACTGCTTTACAGTCTGGATCTTTACCGTGGACTTTTTTTGTGATCCTTTTGCACCAGCACTCCAAGACAYCCCCTGCTCGCGCATGGAGGGAATTATTTTAGAGGGAGAATTCTAGCGCAGGACACTGGAAGCCATGGCTTTCTGCCYCTTTTTTGCCACCGACTCCATTTGTGTGTCTTCTGTAAAATGAGGGTATTTATTGTGAACCATTGAAAATTAATAAATTTGTGACACTGCATTATTTTGGATATTTGAGGTTTATTCTAGAGTCCATAAAACATTTATTCCATGTGTGGTGTAGTGCATATGCTTCCTTATACCTGTGCATGTGAATGTGGGATGAGTACTACCATAGGAGCTTATGGAAGGAGCTTAAAAAGTGGTATTTGTTGAATTAATGTGGTGCTAACAAAGAAAGGAAAGTGGACAAGCCGAGGGAGATGCCACCACACAGGCTGGGAAGAGCGAGGAGTGAAATCTGGGTAAGTAGGAACTGCTGGAGGTAGGAGAGATGACACAATCTCCTTGTGACCTGTCCTTCCTGTCCCACTCAGTCCTCAAAGGGGGAATTTAAGTGGCTGTTGCCGATCACCTCAGCCAGAGACTGGTAACGCAACCTTCAATTAAAAAAAGAATAAACAAACCAGCRAAGAGGAAGGAATAATCTTACAGCATTTATTAGAACTCTGTGAGTTCATTTGGAGTGAGACCAGCTCAAAGTATAAACCAAGTATAAAACCAGTGGAATGTACATTGCAGCCATGGCTTGTCGCTGTTGTGTTCAAAGCAGAAGTCAGTTCCTGAAATGAGGTTGTTGTAAAGGCTCTTTATGGTGCATAATTTGCTAGGAAAGCTGCTATGGCCATTGCTACTGCCACCATCAGGAGAGGGACCCAGTTAGCAGGCTGTCTCTGGAAAAGAGAAGGGAGTGTTACTGGGAAGCAGACAGGCAGAAGAAACTTTCCACCTGTGATAGACATTTGTTCATCTTCCTACAGCACCCAAATAAATGAGAAATGTTTTTTTCCCAGACCCATCTGCAGCTGCAGTCTGAGGAGACTTGCACTATTTGCAGTAGTGATTGGGGTCCAGGAAAGGATCTCCCCCTACTTTCAGCCGTTTGCTCTGGAATTGGTTAAGTTCGTCTCGGCACTGGCGTAATTTGTTCAGGCAGGAGCGGTACTCGTCGCTGAGGGCCTCCAGCTCCAAACGCAGCTCTGTGCACTGCAAACAAAGGAAGTAGGGGTTAGGAAAACTGAGCCTGTCTTCTTCATGTGTACTGAAATTGCCACATCTCATGAGGTGGTTGCAGAGCTTCACATCTCAGTGCATGGGCACTATAGTATAGGACAGAGCAGAGTTGGAGCATTAGGGGGAACAGTGATAAAAGGCAGTTGTCATTCTGTTACCTACTGCCCTGCCATCGTGGGAGAACCTTCTGCAGCTGCTGTGAGGGGACACAGGGTGACTAGGCTGGGGCCCTCTCACAGCCCTTTCTTTTTGCTGTGATTGTGTTTTCCACACCCCCTTCAACAGCTAATGCTGATACCCTGTAATAGCTGGTGCTGGGCTGTACTTGCTGAGGTTGGGTTAGCAGGAAAACTGTTCTCTTGAGTGACTCTAAGCTCAGCTGTGGTAAGAAGTAAATCTTTGTTTTATAATTCCTTATTATCTAAGTACTGTGTACTGCCGTAAAAACTTTGTGAGATGGCTGCTGTCTGGCTTGAGGGTATGCTTACCTTTCCAATCTCTTACATAAGAAAGAAAACATAGGACATTAGAAATTTTTGAAATTGAGTATAGTTAATGCAGTTAACAGACCATTCCTGTTTTTTTTGTAAGTATTTTTCTTTTGTGTTTCCTTGTGCTAGGGTTGTACTTCAGCTATAAKGTGATTTCTCTGCTTTTCCCTGCAAGGCTGTTGAGGTTCTTTAGCCTCTGAGAACAGAGTTTGGTTGGGCAGTGGAGCTTCTGAAGCAGTAGCTCTGTTTTCAAGGATAAAAAGTATTATGGCCTTAGTCATAGGTGCTGGGTCTGGGATTTACCTGAGGCTAGTATTAAAATAAAATTGTAGGGAAGATAGCCCTTATTAGTATTGGGTACAACATGCAGGTATGGTGGTTGTAAGAGCTTTCATGTTTTCTATTCCTGGAGTATTTACAATAGCAGTTCATTCCCTGGCAGGATAATTTAACTTAAGTTGTGACTTCAGTAGTTTCCTCACCTCATTCTCCTTTGCTGTAAGCTGGGATGTCCTTTTCTGCATCTCATTCTTCAGACTTTCTTCTCTCTCRTTTTCTTGCTGTTTTAATAGAGCATTTTGTTTTTCTATGGCAGGAGTGACAGATGGGGTCTCTGTGGTGAGAACCTGATCTAGAAAAACAGTCATGCTTCTGATAAGAAACACATCCAGGCTTTCAGTTTACTTTTTATCTTTTCTACTCAGCACGCTTTAGGGATAATATTTGTATGCTATAACACAGAAGCATCCATAGGAGCTAGATTAGTTATCATAGCACTTTGCTGTGGATATGAATGGATACTTGTAACTGCAACCTCATATATATATACATTAAAAAAAAAAAAAAAGGCATAGCACCAGAAACAATTTTTAATGAAATACATTTATTTTTTTCAAAATATTTGCAATCATAAACACACTGACATTTTAACTTTACCTAGCAGGATATAATAGCCTGCTTTCTGTATGTGTGTTTTTTATTTAAAATAATAATTAAAAAAAAAAAAAAACCTCTATGCTAAGGAAATAGAGAGTTATCTTAGATTCTAACACCTGGGTCCCATTAGAGGAGTAACTGCTGTTCTAGACTGGAGTTACAAAGTTTGCTGACCTTTCCTCTGTACCATCATTTCTGTAGTTTTCTGTTCATTGGTCTGATTCTGTAACAAATCTGTAAAAATAAAAAGTCACTGTTATCTGAAGCACCCTCACAGATATCTTAGATTTGTTTTATTGCTTTTTAATCCTTTCATGGGACTCTATCTAAACTAAAACAGGTAGAAAATGGATGACCTTTTCCAAATAAACTGTTCCCTGGGGTGCTGGTGGTTTTTCTCCCTTCCTTGGAAATTTCTTGCTAGATCCATATTCCCACAGACCACAGGATGTACAAGGCTTCCAGGGCCAGTATTTGGAGTAACTGAAAAATATTTGGTGTTTTGCCTGTCTGATATAGGCTAAAGATCTGCATCAGAGATGCTGTGCAAGGCAAGGCTGAGCAGTGCAAAGAATTTTAAAGTAGCTTTTAAATTTTTAAATTTAAAAATCATCTGAGTATGACTTACTATGCAAATGGCTGATTGTTGCCTCCAAGGTTATCTTCTGGTTTTGTTCTTTTTGTAGTTTACCTGGAATTAAACAAACCAATATTGATACAAAATTCTGTGCATCTTTTGTGCAAGTAAGCAAAATTTGGCTTTCTCCAAATTTGCAAAGTGAAATTATCATTGTTGGAAGGCATAGCGACCTTTGAGGAAACATGGTTTTTTTTTTTTTAAATGTTAACTGCTTCTATAGTAACTTTTCTTTTATGTAGTACTTTCTACTTTACTTTTTTTTTAAGCACATTTGAGTGGGATTTTACTATGTTAAGAGCATAGGATTGTCTTCCATTTAATGTTTGTTAATCGTGCCAAAGATTTGCCACGTTTGAGTAGAGGCTTGTGCTCTGCAAGCTGAGATGTGCAATGCATTTAAATAAATGTTCTTTTTTTATGTATGTGCGCTTGCCTTAGAGCAAGAACTCTTAAAAGCTGTTCTTAAAAGTCTTGTATCTGCTATTCATTCTGGGGAAAACACCCTCATATTCCCTTTCCGCATAATACCTTCTATTGCATCAATATGTTCTGCTTTAAGCTTGTTGTCCACTTCCAAGGTGCTGATTTTCAGGCAGAGTTCTGCATGTTTGTTTTCCAGGTTACCCAGGGCCTGGTGAAGCTCTTGGTTCTGTGTGTTTGCCTGCTAAAGGTGAGAACAGCCACAACAGGTGAGTGGATTATAAAGGAACGATTTGGAGAATGTGATCATAGAATCATAGCATGCTTAAGGTTGGAAGGGAYCTCARAGGTCATCTAGTCCAATCCACGCAGGGTCACCTAGAGCACATGGCACAGGGCTGCATCTAAGCGGGTTTTAAAGATCTCCAAATGAGGAGACTTCACAACCCCTCTGGGCAGCCTGTTCCAGTGATGTGGGCYTGAATCAGGCTGTGTGTAACAGCAGTGTTTTATCAAGAGTGCACTGCTTATTCTTTTTTTTTTTTTTTTAAAAGTCATCTAAACCTGTGTGCTTTCTCTACTTGCAAGTCAGAATATATGCATTCCTGTGGTCAATGTGTACTGCCCTTACAAGAGAACTAACATACTTGCAGTTTGCTTTGTAAAACGTGGAGATTGCTCTTGAGGTCACTGTGTGCCTTGTTCATCTCAGTCCATTCAGCCTTTAGCACATCATAGTGTTCTTTCCACAGGGCACAGTCTTCTTTTGTGACTGCCAGGGATCTCTAGGGAAGAAAGTGAATATCTGCAGGTTAACTTCCCAAGTGTGGGGCTGATGGCAGTAACTGGCTGGGTTAAAACTTGTATGGGACATAACCAGAGTGGTTCATTACACTTGGTGTAGATCTGTGTGCCCCCTCTGAGGAAGGAGGGGAAAAACGAAACAAAACCCATTCATTTTGGCTTAACCTGTGCCTGTAAGCATATCCTCAGCCTGCAGGAGCAAGCAAGCCAGGCTCTGTGCCTATAACAGAGGATTATGTTAGCTTGCTGTATGTAATGATGGAATGCATGTGATTGTGATGCCACCTGATGGAGAGTCAGAAAACAGGCAGAAAGGCTTAATTGTGACAGCTGGATTGCTCATGAAGAGGTGAGAATAAGTACTGCTTGGTAACTAAAACACTTGCACTTTTGTTGCTAATGGTAAACTAGTAATCTCCTTTCACTGAAATGAGGGGGCTGTAAAACTGAAGCAAAGCCAGATATAAAACATTTATTACCTGAGAGTTTTGCAGCTGCTGTTCTGCTTGGAGTTTTTCCTCAATCATTTTCTGAATAGCCTCTTTGGCCTTCTGTTCATAGTTTTGCTTTTGGTCCTCCATCTCTATGAGGATCTTCTTCACACACTCCTTTGAATAGCTCTTTAAACAAAGAATTGAACTGCTTGAAGGATCTTATCTGATGCTACTGCAATTGCTAAACCTGAATATTAGCAGATTCACAGTATGTGAATGCTACTGCTAATTTGCTGAGGAGTCTTGCTTCAGCAAAGAGGAAAAGTAGTTTTCGGATCTGTATGTAATCAGATTTCTCTAGAAACTGAGACCTGACCAAATCGTATGATTCTGTATTTCATTTCTGTGCATTTGGTTAATCCGTGTTTGGTACTTACAGAGTTAGATAGATTACCTGGGTGCAGGCCTGCAGTTGGTTTTCAAGTGCCCTGAGTTTACACTTCAATTTATCTTCATTTAGCTGTCCCTAGAGAGAAGGGGGATTGAGGRGAGGGAAGGGGGAGGGGAAATGTGTTAATCATGAGTTGTACAGTATGTCCTCTTTGAAAATAGTGTTTTGTCGGTTTATTTTGATTCACTTTCTCCTTTTCTGTGTGTGCGTATTATAGCTAAATTTGATCAAAAGTTTTTGAACGCTTGCTTATTTTCAAATAAGCTTTCAGAACAGAGAGGATGTGGATGAAGTAAAACTTTTGCATATTTAAAAAACTCTCTTGAGGCAGTTTAACCAGTGGCAGSAATGCAGGTATTTGCAGTGAAGTGAGAAGTTAATAGCAAAGTTATTTCAAGTTAGTCTGGTTCAGTCTATTCTAAACATCATGGCTGTCTTGTCCCTGCATACAGTCTTGTTTCCTGCTTGATGGTTTTTCTTTCCTGCAACATTTTTTTTTTTTTGCCTAAAGCTCCAGCTGGTAATGTCTTGTCTTACTGGTTTCCTTAGGAAATAGGTTGAGTCTGCATTGCAACATCTTGCAGCTGGGCAGGGGGATAAAGGGAAACAATGATGAGTTGTTTTTCTTGATGCAATCTTTCCTCATAGTTAGTCAAGCTTTTTACTTTAGTTTTGTGAAACTAGACTTGCATGCAAATTCAGATAAAACTTTCAGCAAAGAGTCTGTGTAGGTTCTTTCCACTACTGATGTTGAGAATGCTGATATCATCTTATTGCTACTGTTTGAAGTCAATCCTTTGAATAAGTAACGCCCTGATGTTACAAGAATAGCTATTAGATCTAGGCAAAAACAGAATTTCTAGCGTTATAGTACTGTTTAACTGGTAGATGAATAAATTTAGAGTCTAAAAGAGACATTCTTTTGAGGTCAATTGTTGGTTCATTTAAAAAAAAACCTATAATTTCATAAATTGTAGGTGAGATTAAATATATTTTTTGGGTGTAGTATATTATATCCAATTGTCCTCTGCTATGCATTTTATTCTGCTGTTTGCGAAGATTAATTTCAAGAGGGTGGTATTTTATGGACATTCTGCACAGATGTAAATGCAGAGTACAAGATAACTAAGCACTAAGCCCTTCCTACACTTGAAAGTAGAAATGTGCTGGCAAAATATAGCAGCTCATACATTGGCAAAAGAACACACAGCACTGAGATTTCCCTAAATGGAATAAGCAACCTCTTAGGACTTTTACCAGAACAGCTGCCTCACAGTGAGGAGTGAGTTTATATGCCTGTGTGTCAGAAAGCATAAGAAAACTGCCTCTGACCAGGAAAGRTTTATTTCCTATAAGTTAGGGAAGTTTAGTCCAACTCTCCTGCAAATGGTTATCTACCTGGAAGAGACTAGTAAGAAAATACTGTGACTATAGCTACTATCATATGGTGGTTTTATTTGTCATTTCACCCCCTTGGATTGGATTTAAAGTTACTTAGCTAGCATTTAGCATCTGGGAACAGATAATTGGCACACAGGCCATAGGAYCTGTCTCCCTCCTTTGCCAGCAGTTCCCAAGGAGACTCTTTTCCACCTCTAGCCTCCCTCTCTATGTGCTCCCAAAGGATCACTTCTCAGTATGTAGTTTCTGCATTGTTTGATTYGATTCCAGTGCCATAATAAGTTAATCTTTAGTCTGCAAAGGCTGAATATAGAAACATCAGCAAAGACCCTTTATTATAGCAGAGATGGCAAGAAGCAAAAGGCACCCACCTGTTTCTAATCTGAGGTTTCATGGCTACTTTCTGCAGAATGTTTGTCAGTTTTTTCCTGCTCATGTTATATTTGAAGGAACAAGCAAAGGCGGAAGTGTCTAACCGCAGCACATCTAGCAATTTTTTTACATCATTTCACCCAATCATTTTCTTCTCTGTCCAAAATGCATTTTTAAACCATTTTTTCTTTAGCACTGTTTGTTATAGAACAACAAAAGAATTCTTAATTTAATGTTCTTATATAAACTATTGCACTGCCATAAAATGAGTCATAAAATCCATCACCTTAGCTTTACCTCCTAAAGTCTAGGGGAAAAAGGAGGGGGGAAAAAAAAAAAAAAAAAAGGAAGGGGGGCTGGTTTTGTGCTGACCAGAGGATTTAGTTTGAGCTGTGGGATAYAGTAAGATATGGGGCCATAATTCAGTAGTGTCTTTAAGGTCAAGTAGATGTTCAAGAGCTTTGCAGTACTGGGTCCCAGTTTTGTGTCTGGGACTGAAATATGTCTCATGAACTGAGACAGAGGTGTGGGCACAGGATGCTCTGCTGTTCTTTGTAAGCAGGAAACTGAGGAAGGTGCAGCATATCAGAAAGGTTTGAGTTTCTTTTGGCCATTGTGTTCTTAGTTTTAAAAAAATATATATTATGCCCACTCCCAAGCTTTTGCAATATTTTATGTTCATCTAAAATTTTAATTTTGGCAAAAAAGTCACTTGGACAATTTTTGAAATTTGTCTGCACTAGAGCAGAAAAGATGGTAGAAGATCTACCTATATACTTCATATTTATCTGGGGGGGGAGGAATATAGTAAAAACTTTTCATTAGCCATGAGGACAGAAATGGAGAGAGAGAAAGAGAACACACACACACACACAGAGTAAAACTTATTTCTGAGTTTTTGCGCAACTAGCCCTAAAAAGAAAGATCACTGAAATGAGAGGAAGGTAAAGTAGTGTCCAGGTTAAGTTTCATGTRGCATCATATCTGTTAGCACATGAAGCCCCTAAAGAGTTAAGATTAGGCAGAGTGGAAATTAGCTAGTGAAAATAAAACAAGACACTTGGGTGGTTCTGTATATTAAGCCAGGCCCTGCTAAGATAGAAGCTCGATTCCAGCACTAGCTGAAATCATTAGTGCAGTCATCTGGTTGTTACCTGCCAGGACTTTTCTGATGCTCGCAGCAGTGTGGAGAAAAGCTCCTGCAAAATCACCATCTTCTGCTTCAGCAACAGCTCCCGATGCAGTGCCTCCTGCACATTGAATAGGAAAGGCTGTTTGTTATAGATGCTGTCTGTATGATTCAGTATGTATAGTTGGCCTGTTTAATTCCTACAACTCGCAATTAGTATTTTCACCATTTGGTATATTTGAGATGAGTCTTTATCTTGAATATCTTATCCATTTTTTTCTCTTGCCACATTAAAACTGGACACAAAACACCCATTCATTTAAGCAAACATTCGTGTAATCTTTCATCACTTACTTTCTAGATAGCTGCTTATAATACTTGGTACTTACCTTCAGGTAGTTGGAAAGTTGCACTATTTCCTGAAAAGGGAAAGTATTAAAAACTATAGGATCATTTGTTGTAACCATTTTATAAACTTTCTACAAATTTCAAACATTTTGAAATGAATTGAAATTAACAACATGAATTTGATTAGTATGCAACAGATTAGAAACATAGTATATTGCTTTTTATGTTTGTGTTGTTGGTCCCTCCCCAGGCAATCCAAACACATTCTGTAATTCCTTACATTATTGGAGTTATGCCATCCTTGTCATATAGTACAGCAAACCAGAGTAGTTATTGCATAGAAACAATTGATATCTCTGGAAGGGAGTGTCTTTCTTTACTACAGTAACATTTTTCATAACCAAAAGCTGCAAAAGTATTGTCCGTGYGTTCAGCTTACCTTGTTTAAAACTGCTGTTCCACAACTAAAATAAAAAAGAATTTATGTTACTAAGATGATGTAGTACAGAGTTATGAATCAGTCCTTAACTGATTATCAACCTCAACCTGTCGCACAAAGGAGATTGTGAATATTTCTAAAGCTAAAGTTTTGGCTAACATGAAATATATATGACCTTGTCATTGATTGTCAGTGGTTTACAGGTACCTATGAATCCACAGTCCAGTAAAGGAGGAGAGAACAGACTTACTCTGTCTGTTGGCTTGAGTCCTTCACTTTTGTACTTAAATTTGTAAGTGTTTGAGTTCCTGTGAAAATAAAATAAAAGGATATGGGACTGATTCCCTCAGAAGAAATACTTTTCTGCTTGAGCACACATCTGTACTATCTCAGAAATGGTGTAGTTGCTGAGTTGGAGAACAGTTGTTTAAACAGCATCTAGTAAGACAATTGAATAGGGACAAGTAGTAAGGAAGAATCATGTGCTCAGATGAAAAATGTAAATAAAATAATTCTATGGATTAAAATCAGCCCACAAGGCTATCACATAATTTAGAGTATTTGCAAGAAAACTGTAGCACAAAACATCAGTTTAGGAGCCTTATTTTCACAATATTTTATCCAACAGCAGGATCTTCTGAACTGTGGGCTGGACTGGTTTGTGTGTCTGCAGGAAAAAAATATTCTTAAAACCTGCAGTTTGAAGGAGARAGAAATTCCGACTAGGATGCTAAAAGCAGTGATAGGTGCTGCTAGCCAAGAGGTGGCATTAGGAGAAAAGCTAGCCTAGATCTTGAAAGTCCAGTCTTCTGGTGGTGCATAATGTGGTCCCATGCTGACACATGGGAACTCCTGCACCTAAACAAGGAACAAGGCACTGACACCTGCACTTGGAAGAGAAGCACCGTGGTTCTGATTTTGTTTTGAAAGACAGGTGCTTGTTAAGCAGCCTACTCCTCGTGTACCTTGAGTGTCTGTGTGGGTGCCTTTGCCGGATGTATGTCCTGTTGGAACAGCACAGGAATGAAGGCTGCTGGGCCTGAGGTGCAGACGGAGCCCAGGCTGGTTGTGTGCATCCAGAAATGCACTGTGGCTCCACGCGGGCTGAAACAACAGGGCAGCTTATGTACATAAAGCAGATRGGGAGCAGTTAACTGCTCTTAGAGCCAGCTGTTACCTGCAGTGGAGCTGGGGACCTTGGATCCACCTGTGATGACAGGTCCTGGGAGATGTTTGTTGCATTCTCTTGTCCTAGGGGAGCTGGTGTTTCAGGGAGAGGTTTCCGTGGTTTGTTTGTTTCTTCAGTTACGAGGTTTCTTCTTCTCAGGAATTCTCTCTGACGGGGACTCTGAGACTGCTTCTCTGCTTCCTTTTCATTATGTTTTCCAATGCGCCTGCATGTGGTCACATTGTTTCGCCTCCACAAGTTCTCTCGTGTCTCATGCCGCCGCTCRCACTTCTCATCGTAGCTCTCACTTGAACGCCCGCGCCGTTGTGATATCTTTTCAGGTTGGCTAATCATGTCGGCAGCACTGCGTTAAACTTGCTAGTCTGTAAGGTGTAATAGTAAAAGTAAGACTTCACATCAGCTGTTAGTAACAATTATGAAGCATGTCCCTGCTCTCTRTGTCCTGCAGCTCGCTGCTCCCGAGGCATGGCAGACTGAAAGGTGCTTGGCTTCCAAGCGGTGGCTCTCCTGGGTGCCTCTCAGTCTTCTGTTCTCCTACTCACTTTGTCTACCTGCTTTTGTATCTGCTATCAGAGAGTCTGAGAACCATTCTAGTGCATTTCTTGTTTGATTTAGTAAATCATATTAATGTTGGATAGAGTATGGCAAAAAAGGAAATTTTGGCCTCAGATAATCCAGGGTAAATTTTGTTCATTAAGAAACAATTTAATCGTCTCCTCTTAAGCAATTAAGCATTTGAGTCTAATGAAAAGATTTTTTTTCAATGTATATTTAAAACCATCTTGGTAACTTTTTTTTTTGTTGTTGTTCTTAGGTTATGTCTCATCTAGCATGTTAGTAAGGCCATCTTTTTATATGGGGCTTCCTTTCAAAATGAGAAAATACTTTTTAAGATGATCAGAATAGTTGTTACCTCTCAACCCAGGAAATGCATGTGAACTGACGACTAGTGTAATGCTTCAGGTGCTCACCAGCCATTCTGGGAAATGGAGTTTCAGAGACATTGCTGAAATTAACCACTTACTGAAAGATCAGGCAACACTATTATTTATTTGTATTTGTTTGAATATTATGTTCTGTGAAACTTCTGAGCTCTGCAGGTTCTCTTACTGTGTATCCCAAGAAAAGCTTTTATGATATATTTTGTTAAACAAAAAGCAAGGCAGAAGCATAAAGAAATATTCAATACATTACTTACCCCAAGCTGAGCAAACTGTTGAAGTCGTCTTTATGAAATTTTTTGTCATCCAAAGTAATCCTCTCTAATTAAAAAAAAAAGTCTTTTATCTTTGTTTTCCTCGGTTTGCTGTTACTCTTCTTGCTTCAAAAACCACCACCACCAAAAAAGTGTCTTCTAGTTCATGTTATAACTTTCAAYGTCAGCCATGCAGGCTGAAACCGGGGAGAAAATGGCACATGTTGCTGCCTTTAGCAGGCCTGTCTGCCACGCCATCCACCCCCAGCAGCCCCAGGGCAGCAGTCACTCACCTCTGTCCTGTAACAGCCTCTGAGTGAAGGAACAAAAACTAAAAAGTCCGATCCTATTCTGCAACCTCTGAGAAGCTTTGGCAGAGGAAAGGGTGAGTGCTAGGTTATCGGGCACAAACATGCTCCAACTGTCATCTTTGTTCCAACAACTTCATTTTGCTACTCTGGCTTGCTGCTTTCTTTTTTTTTTTTTTTTTTTCTCTCAAACAGGAAATGTAGAAGCCGCACTGCCTAACCCTAGTTCCTGTGTCTGTTCTGAATTTCTAGCATGGGAGAAGAAGCTGCTAGGTGCAAGGCCTGAGACCTCGCTCAGCGTGGTATTTGGGTTGTCTTGTGATGCAAGAGGCTGCAGTTTTGCTTTTGGGGACAGCAACTATCTTGTGGGCCTTCTTCTTTTATCAGTCTGACATGCAGAGGTTGAGTGCTGGTTAAAGGAGTGTTTTTGCGGCACAGTGTGACTGAATCTCTCCAAGCTGCTCTGGGTAAAGAATCAAGACTTAGGGAAGTACAGTAATGCTATTATTTTAAGGCTTCTTGCAGATTGGAAAAAGTGTGCTTTAGCAGCTGAGGTGAGGTCATTAACGGCAGAAATTCATCAAGGTTTTTATAGAGAAGTGAAAGCTGTGTTAATGCAAATCATGCAGTGGGGTTGGTTTAACCAGCTGTGTACTGGTAAAGACTTTATGTGCCTTCACATAGAAAAGGAACRAAATTGGAGATGTTATAAAGTGATGTGGGATTTCTTTTTCTAAAGACCACCCAACAACAACAAAAAAATCCAGTTTCAAGACCCTCTTGTGTAGCAGGGCTCCATAGTTCATGCAGTTTCATTTAAATCCCCATCTAGAATGAACTGAGGCCTTTTTACCTTTTGCCTGATAACCTGAATATATGGTTCCCCTTTATAATCCTGTTACCCATGTCCCCAGTCTGTATTTTTCACCACCTCCTTGACAAGTGCTGTGCTTACATGCTGCTGCTCATGCTGCGTGTGGCTTGAGGAGCTATCCACAACCCGTGACAACAGTGAGAATGGTGCTAGGGCCTTCCTCCATCAGCTCCTTGCTCCTGGCAAAGGCTGCGACCCTGGGCAGCTCCTGTCTGTGCTGTGATTGGCATGTGGGATCTCGTGYCTGCCAGGTGGTAAGTGATCTGCTCTCCTGTTCTACTGCTGGTGCCTGTAATGCTCACCCATTTCTCTGAGCATCTCTGGAGAGTAGGACACAGAACATCAGACCATCAGCATATGCCCCAAAGCCCCACAAACTGGAGTGTTAGCTCTCAAAAGCCTTTGGGAACTGAGCCTCCCTGTGGTCCACTGCACCTTTGCTCCCAGATAAAGCGAGTGGGGAAGCTACGTGCAGAAACACTGCGCTATTGTAATGTGCAGCTGCTCTCACAAACCTGGAGTGGAATTTGCTCCTTAATCCTAGTTTCAACTGAAGTGCACAAAAGAGCAAAGCTCTGTGGTTCCTTCTGTGAATTACTTTTAAAAATGACTAGGGGTTAACTAGGAAAAGGCTTGAACTTTTAAATGGATAAATGCATATTTTCAGACAAATTCATTTGTTGAGATCAAACACTTGCCATGTGATCCCGACAGGGCTCAGACATAATCCTCTGAGCTCTTCCTAGATGGTGCAGTMTGCTTGGAATGGTTCTGCTGTGCTTGTGCCTCTGCCAAAGCTGCCCTTGGCAAGCTCTCATTCTTCCCCTGTATTGGCTTACCAGGCATGTTTTGAAAGGTTCGTCAGACTGCACATTTTTTTCTCTATTGGTCCATGCAGTTGCACTGATGGTAGCCTGGCTGATTATGGTTTAAAGCACTTTTTTTTTTTTTTTTTTTTTCCCCTCCTCCAGTGACTTGTGTTTTTTGAGACTCTTGGGTGCTGAATAAAAATAAAATGAGAGCTCCACTCCCACAAGGGGATGCAAATCTTCAGTAACAGTCCCATCTAGATGGTGCAGTCTGCTTGGAATGGTTCTGCTGTGCTTGTGCCTCTGCCAAAGCTGCCCTTGGCAAGCTCTCATTCTTCCCCTGTATTGGCTTNGTTTTTTGAGACTCTTGGGTGCTGAATAAAAATAAAATGAGAGCACCACTCCCACAAGGGGATGCAAATCTTCAGTAACAGTCCCATCTCTCTGCTAAAATGCAGACAGCAAACAGAGGTGCCCTGGTAGATGTATTCTTTGCGCTTCTTGTAAGACAGCAAACATTCATATAATGGAGAATGTTACTTTGGCCTGCTGTTCCTCAGCATCCTTATGTTGCCATGTGTTTCAGGAGTGTTTTAAGGGAGCATTGAAGGCTAAAAAGTCTTCTAGCCTGACAGAGAGGCGGGCTTGTTGTTAAGTGCAGCCTTTGGAGATGGGAGATCTGTTAATCCAGGTTTAGGCAAGCTGCCTTTCCTTCTGCTTTTTCAAGTGCAAAGTAGAGGCAATGCTTCTTCTCACTGGGTGCCATAAAGGCTTATTAATKGGAGATAATCATGGTAATACAGGTTTACATGAGTATCCAGAATGAACAAGAAAGTTTGTGGATTTCAGATCCTTTTCATTTTTTTCCAGCTTATCTTACATGATAACACCATTTGTTATACCTTRAAAATACACTGTCTTGAGTAATCCACTGGGGCTGATTGCTAGAGGCAATAAAAGAGCCGGGTCAGTGTCTTTTACAGATCCTTATCTTCCTTGGGTTTTGTGTGTCACATCGCTCAGCTTCTACCTAGGCATGGGGAGAACCAATTTGCAAACTATTTTCTCAAGGAGAGAGTCTAAAGGACAAAACTCACTCTGTATGCGCTGGTGAATGCAGGAGATCTCGGGATAAAGTAAAAGGAAACGTTGTAGGTCTGTAATATGTTTTCCTAAATTTCTTTAGAAAGTGATTCTCGAAGTACTCCTAGTGAGAAGTTTTTTGTTTTTGACCAGGTAGCAGCTAGGAGGGCAGGTACGTGTTTTGGCAAAGGTGCCAGCAGCAGTGCCAAGACTGCTCCAACCCTGTGAGATGCAAGTGAAGCTCCTCAGGAGCTGCCGTTGGAGCAGCTGTAGCAGCAGAAGGGTGGCTGCTGGCTCTGCGCTTGGGTTTCGCGCTCAGGGCCTCTTGCTTCCTGTGGCCAAGCTCACAGCGTGTAATGCCACTATGGCAGGTCTGCCCTGGGTAGCGAGGGTTTTGCTTTGATATTAGGAATAACCATTAAGGAATGGTAATCCTAACAAAAAAGATGCATGGAAAGACAGAAGTTAAAATAAGCTAAAAAGACAGTTGTTATATTAAATAAGAAAGGATTGCTACAATGATTTGACTTTACTATGCAAGACAGACCAATGGAACTGTGCCTATTCACAACACCTGTAATGGAGAATGAGAGGAGGAACACAGCACACAAGACTGTAATGTTAGTGTATTTTATTTAATTATTGATTTATGTTATTACTTTTCCATAGTCTGGGGAAAGGGATTTTGTCTAACCAATTGGAACAGGGAGCTAAAGGAAATTTTCCTCCTTCATGTTGTGTACCACAGCACATGTTCAACTCAACTGGATCCTTTAGAGATGATGTGGACTGTTCTAATGTTACTCAATAAAATAATCTGTCTGCTGCAAATATCCACCAGCAGAGGAGGCTATTGGACAGAATAAACCTTCCTAAACTGGTACATGCAAAGACCTTTCTTAACTAGAGCTGTAGTATGAGTCACATAAGGCCTTTTTTTTTTTTTTTCCTCTTCTTTTCTCTCTCTCCTTTAAAAATGCTCCAGGAAGGCAGTGCTGGGTGGGTGGGAGGGGTGGCTAGTCTTTAATTCTATTACATGCAGAGGCAGTGCTAGCTAAGGAGGACCGAGAAGCGGGAATGCAATGCTGACATCCAAAGCAGCAGAGCAAGGTGCCTGGTGTTTTGTCCATGCAGGGAGTGGGAAGCCCTTCATGTGTTCCTGTGCAGGGTGACGAAAGACCAGAGGCTCTTGCATTATGTTCCCTAGGCACGAGGGGACTTTGAGGCTAGATGCTTTGTGTTGCTCTCAGCACTGGTTAAAGTAGCAAAGAGATAGAGGATATGAGGAAAAATGCTGGAGGGTTATTTAGTTTTTCTTCAAATTCTCTGTGTTGTAGCACTTCCTGATCAGATAATCTAGGAAGTCTGCAGCCCAGTCCCGGATCAAGAGGGGTATTTTAGTAGAAGCATATCTGTAGTAAACTTCCCGTTGGCGGAGAGCTCCCCCCTTGATGATTTCCAGTGCACACTCCTCTTTGGGTGCTGGGGACATCAGAATCACATCAGCAGCAGCTTTCATGGCAGCCTCTAGCCCAAGAGAACAAAAAAGAAAAACTTTGGTTATGTTTGGATTGCACTCTGCAAGTTGCCTAAGAGTGGTCTAGGTAGTGATTAAAAGCTAAGTATTATCAAGTTAGCCTTCTGTGAACTCAGCTCTTTGAAAAGCTCTGTGTTACAGGCCTTTGCGTCCTGTCCAATATGCAGCACTAGGGACCTCAGAAAGACCAGGGTAGGAATCTTTGTGTTCCGTCTTCTCTGCATGCAGGCCTTTCCCTGAAGGGTTCAACTAGCAATGAGCAGTGGGAAGGGCAGAAGAAGGCTGTATTATTTGATACAAATGTGCGTAGCAGAACTGTTAAAATAATTTATTAAAATTAAACGTATCTGTATACTTGACAATGAAGGCAATTTTATGAGGCAAATAAAACTTCCCTTTTATTGTCCAGCACATGGATAATTTTCCAAACTGCTCTAATAYATGCACTTGCATTCCC